ATTAAATCTTTTATAGTAAGATCATCAACCAAAAGGTATACGCAAGGTCAAGTCAAAGATAAGTTCAAATCTTATTCATTTTGTAATGAGTTGAGTAACTTTTATAATATATATATATATATATTTATTTATTTATTTATTTCAGATTCATTCGTCTGTTTTAGAAGGACTGTCGTATGATCGTGGGCGACATCACCCAAGTTACCAGTGATCTTCGATATTCCTTGCGTGGTACTATGTACCGTTAAGGTAGAAAAAGTAAACGAGAGGCTGATTTTTTGAAGTAAACATAATCTTCATTCAAAACGAAAGGACTGATAAAAAAAAAAAATGTAACTAGCATTAAAGGATAAATATTACAAAATTTACATATGGTTTATTATATTAAGATTGTTCCGATTGTTCTTCTATTTCATCTTTAACAAAATCTTCGGACTCTTTTATGCCAATATCCACCACCAATGTCATAACGATTACGCTAGAAATAGATAACATGACGAATAGAACCCAAAATCCATTTCTGATTTCATGAGTAGCGCTAGTTACGATCCCTGATAACATGGGTCCTAACGTGCTAGATCCCTACAAAAACCATTCGAAGGGAAGAAATGAATAAAAAAAAAAAAAAATCGACTTGGACGAAACGAAAGAAACAAAAAAAAAAAAAAACCGCATTCCTTTCTACAAACCTTCGCCGTGATTAGATATAATGAAAAAAATTCACTCTCATGCCCTTTTGGTATCAACCTACTAAACAAACTCTGACTGTACGCTTGGATGCTACCTAAACATAATCCAAAGTAAACAACAAATAACCAAATCTCCCAATTGTGTCTCATACCAAATGGCAAAAAAAATCCCAGTAATGTATACGCGGGTAATAATGTTAACATTATTGAGATGATTATTATCATTGTCTTTGTGGTGAATTTAAATAATTTTTCTATAAAGTAAAAGATATAAATTCCAATCGCTGCACATGATGGCACGATAATGGCGAGTATTATTAATTGAACTTCTGTGAGGTTAAACGTTTTGGAACCAAATAAAGCAGCTAAAGGACCGATTGTATTTATACCGTCGCTCAACAAAAACCAAGAAGTCAAGAATATCGTTATTTGCTTTAATTTTCTTGCTTTTTTCATCGTTTTAAAAATTCTCTTGTAAGGGTACAAAAATTTGTTTACCGTGCTAAAGATGCGCAAGATGTTTCAAATGTGAGTAAATAAACATAACGATAACGACAAGGAAAAAAATTTTGTGGAAACGGTTTACCTTGGTAAAGGGGGTTCCGGATGCTCTTTTAACCATAAGAAAGGGAAGATTAACCAAATCAACCACCATCCACCACCAAAGGACATGGCGATTTGTAAACTATAATCAGATGAATTTAACGCTAGCACGATGCCTAATCCTCCAAATACTACTAATAAACCTGCTACAAATCCTACACCTGTCGTATTAGCTGATAATTTAGTTGAAATTTTCTCTTCAACTTCTAACAACTTTTCACTGGATGCATTTGATTTCTTTAGCAATAATACTTCTGGATATATACGTGAAAAGATTGGAATGTGCGCCAGGTGAAATACATATGCCGCACCGAAACAACAGTTACTAATATTGGTAAGCAATTCAAATGATTAGGTGACAGTGATTTACAATAAATATATTGGACGAATCATCTGAAACTACTTACGAAACTATGGTTATGATGCCTGCGAACAAATACCATTCTGAACCAAAGAGATACAAATAAATTTAATAAATTGTCAAAAGGAACGATACTTGTGAATCTTGAAAAATAAACGTACCAGGTTTAAACACCAGCGCGTAACAAATCGTAGCAACAGCTCCAACGGTTGAAAAAAATAAAAGAAATTTCTTTCGATTTGCTGAGATATAAAAAGTAAATTATTATGTTAGCAAATTCAAAAAAAAAAAAAAAAAAAAAATTTATAATTACCCCCATGATCGGCAAGAGAAGTGCAACTGATTAGTAGTAGACTTTGTAATAGTACAGACAATGACACAACATAGAATGAAAAGCTGTCCGTATCAATATATACACCTGCAATTTTTATTACACATTTATGATTTGGTACTAACTATCAAATAGCATTTAGAGTCAATAAATATTTTCTAATGATTGAAATTCGATAAAAGAATATCTTACAGTATCGCAAGGAGTAACGCGATCAAGTTCATAACCCGATTTGCTTGCAAGTTTTTCGAGTAAGACTGGGGCGAAAACTAAAAAAAAAAAATCAATTAATAAAAATTAATAAAATGTGATTTTAAGATAATTTATAGAATAAAAACTTTTCATTTACATCCAGCTATCGCAACATCATAAGCTCCGCACTAAAGAACAAAAATTATGTTTAATAAAAAAAGCATACAGGAACAATTAATGATATTGGAAAATCACTTACGGCAAAATTATGAAGATACCATCCTTTCAATTCTTTTGATGTTACAGGTTGTTTATCTTCGTTAATGATTGATTCATTATAGGTGGCGATATTCTTCTCGTCTTGCAAAATTTGTAAAGTACTTTCTCTCTCCATTTTTAAAAGACATTAGTAGGGGAATTCGATCATTTTTAAGTAATTTTCTCAGATTCAATAATTATTTATAAATTTATAAATTCGGTAAGATTTACAATATGAATTCTGAAATAGGAACTAATCAACTTAAACTGTATATCAGTATTGTATTTTAAAATATGCCCAAATTTGGTTTCCTAGTCAATTTTATGTAACGTCAATGAGCTATACTAATATTTGCACACCTAAGATCACATGGTAATACTACCTTTTTCTTTTTTTTTTACGTATTGATTCCTTTTTTTATTTTTTATCTTTTTTTTTAAAAAAAAATAAAAACAATGGATAGTATGAATAGAGAAGATTGGTTATTATGGCAATTCGCGGATTCAGCATTACCTACAGGAGGATTTGTGGCTTCATCAGGATTAGAAGTGGCCATACAAACAGGATACGTTAAAGACTCCGATTCATTATCATTATTCTTATCGTCAAGCATTGAGAATTATGCTCATTCCGCTTTACCTTTTGTAACTGATTCCTGGCAAGTTCTCTTTGAAACATCTAATGAAGATGTAATTTTGGAAAGTATCATAAAGTTGGATCATTTGTATGAAGCATGTACAAGCAATGTTATTACTAAACGTGCTTCAAAAGCCCAAGGAGTTGCCATGTTAACTTTATTTAGTAAATCATTTGGTGAAGAATTTGGTAATGAGGGCAGAAAAGTTGGAGATAAAGTTGTTGATAGATTGAAGTTTGAAGTTAGAAAAGAGAATACATTTGGTCATTTACCTATTACCTTTGGATTGGTTTCCAAGTGTCTTGGAATCAGTTTAGGTAGGTTAAAAATATATTCTTTAGCATTTAATGTTTAAATTTTTTAAATTTTTTTTTTTTATTGATTTGATTTAGAACGCGCTCAACAATTATTCCTCTTTCTTTTCTCTCGGGCTGCTTTGTCTGCTGCCGTCCGCTTAAATATTGTTGGACCTTATTATTCTCAAAGAATGTTAACTAAATGTCAAACTTTCGTTGACACCTCGCTCAAAAAAACATATAATATTAAAGCTGACGATGCCGCACAGACTTCTCCCATTCTTGACATTTTACAGGGTAGACATGATAAATTATATTCTAGATTATTTAATAGTTAAATAATAATAATTAATATATTTGAGATTAAGGTTTTATATAATCAAAAGAACTTTTATTTCATTATTTTAAATACTTTGAAAATTTTCCATGTTCATGTAAGTAATTATTGAAGAAATTATACGGGGACCTATCGGGTTTTGAAGTTTGTTTCTTCTGACCAATCAAAATTTAGCCAATAAAATTACTTTGTATCTTATTTTTTGAATTTTGACAAAAAAATTGATTCAAACAAATGGTTTAGTAAAAAAAATAAAACAGTCGAGTTTAAAATATTTAAAAATTGGGACATTTCTCAAGGATGGTTTAACGCATGAGATGAGATATCATTAAACGTCATGTGTGAGTTTGTTAAGACAATGTTATCTGAAGCATTTGCCCTAAACTTTACAACTTTTCTACTCGTTAATATAAAGGTGCATTGATTGGTCACGCTGTTTATAATGTTACATGTTTTCTAATATTTTCCGTTAACTCCCCATTCCATTGACCAATGTAATTTTCGAATCTATCCAAATTCTTGTATCCGGGTCTTAACAATCTTTTCGATGCTCTCAATTTCGGTTTAATGTAAGGAAAGTATATTATTGAAGTTTGCTCTGGTTTCAAACCAAGCGTCCTTCATCAGTCAAAGTCCTAATTTATCATGAGATATCGCTTGTTGATGAGACGTTTCATCAAATATGTTGAAAAATTCGACCATCTCGATCGAAGATGTATTCCCTCGCATTGTATTACAAAAAATTTTTCCAAGTGATATTTGTTCAATGTTATTTTTTCAAATAAATATCTTTGATATAATTTTACAATTGACTCGAAACTCTCAAATCTCACTTTCAAAAGTTCATTATACTCATTTATTAAAACACGTGCTTTTAATAATTTATCGATCGTCATCATGTTTAATTTTTGTGTATCAACCACAGCGTTTTTGATTTGCTCCATAATGCATTCCAATTGCATTATACAGTAATTTCCAAAATTATTTTTTTGCTCGAATATAATTTCTTTTTTTTTTTTTTTCTTTTTTTTACATGTAAAAAAAAAAAAAAGGAAAAAAAAAAAATGCCTTCAAATATACCAAACGAAATTTATCAAAATATTTTCGGATTTATTGAAGAAACAGATACGAAAACGTTATACTCATGCCTTTTCGTAAATCGAACGTGGTGCATGAATATTATTCCTTTTATTTGGAAAAAACCTTTTAAAATTTCAAAGAATATCGAAAAACTTGTACCCATCTTCTTTTCATTTCTTAATGATGAAACAAAAGAATTTCTTCAAGTACAAAATCAAAATCTTGACATCCCAAATACACTTCTATTTGATTACCCCTGTTACATCAAGGAAATGCATTTTGGTAGCATTAATTATTCCATTGAAAAATGGATCGATGAGAATAGAATTATTAGACCCACTTTATGTGATGATTACTTTACAAAAAATGAATCATCTTACAATTATAATTTTATAAGATTTGTTTCAAAAGGTTCTAATCATAAAAAAATAAAAGAACAAGAACGGATGATTTTTTTTGAAATAATTTTTAACATCATAGTCAACAAGTCGGAACGAATCGAAATACTTAAATTATGCGAGCATGGTAATGAATATCAATATAACTCGATTAAGATATTATTTTATCAATCTTTATTATTTTCCACACCTAAAATTGAGAATCGTTTAAAAAACCTTCAAAAATTGATATGCATGGAAAATTGGTTTAGGGAAGAAATATTCATCAAGTTATCAAATATCTCTAACAATATTAAATACATTCATGTTGATATTGATGTGTACAATCCAACATTAAAAGACAAAGAAAGCTTTACTAAATTAATCAAGTCTCAAAATAATTTGGAAAAGATCATTATCTCTTGTTATAATACGCAAAATTATATCGATGAATTTATGAAAGCATTAATTAATCATACTCATTCCTTAAAATCAATTAATCTTGAATTTGGAAAGATTAAAGAAAATAATTCCTTGAGTTTTTTAAAGAATTGTTATAAACTTGAGGAATTAATCTTAAATAGATTAGAATTAGCTTATGATTATGTTGAATTATTATTTGAAATCATTTTACCTAATCTTAAAAAACTTTACATTCATAACATGTACTTTCATGAACCTGCTTCTAACAAAAATCCTATTTACACTTTTATAAACAATAATGGAAAGAATTTATTGGAAATTTCATTATTCGTTGCTCTGTCGGATTACCCTTCACTTTTAATCGAAACTATCACGGATTATTGTCCTTTGCTTACCTCTTTTAGTATTAAGATACGTAAAGAAGACGAAATTCCAAAATTATTTTATTTAATGAAAAATTCTAAAAATTTGAAATTCCTTTACATCCTTTTTAGTGATTTCATTTATTTACATTTAACCATTAAGAAAAATTTAAAGGAGTTTGCTCAATACATTTCTTCTACATTAGTCACCTTGGATATATCAAAATGGTTAATTTCTTTTAAAATATTAGAGAATTTTCTTGAGAATTTATATCACCTTGTAAGAAATTTCAAATTTAAATGTATTGGAAGTTCTAAAAAAATTGAAAATATTCTCGTAAATTATGCTAAAAAAAAGCACTTGATGATTAATAATCTTTATATAGAAGAATATATAGGTTATAATCTATCAAAATTACATTCACAAGTCATTATTGAATGGATTAATTATTAGATGTAATTGCCTATATATTATTAAAAAAATTTTTATTTTACCAAAATATATTATTATTAATAATTCTAACTTTAATAGTAAGTAGAATTATTTATATATGTATAAGAATTAGAAGTAAACTTAATAATAATAAAAAATAACTTTATATATTAGATATATTTATTTTTACTAAATAATTTAGAAATGGAAAATTTTTTATAATAAAATTAATATTTATTCTTCCTTAATAAATCATATCTATTTATTTAACATTGCTTATATACTGTATAACTTATAGCTAATTATAAATTTTATATATTATTTAATATTTAAAAAATGTTAAATATCTTTTAATATATATATGTATTTACAATAATTATTAGATTTTATGTTAATATTTATTATAAATTTTTAATTGTATATATAAAACTTTTTTTATTTATAAAGAATAAAAAATACTTGTTTTATAATTTTGTATTTTAAAATTATTTTTATTTATTTATATAAATAATAATCTTATTATATATAATTAGTTATTAACCTATTATTTACAATAGAATTAAATTTAAAAATATTATTAGTTAGAAAATTAAAATATAAAAATTTAATTAATTATATTTTTAGAATAAGCATATTTGCATTTTATTTATATTATTAATGTTAATCTTGATTTTAATTAAAAAATAAGATTTTTTACTTACAATTTAACTGAAAAATAAAATAAATAAAATAGTTTAAATTTAAAATATAATTTCATATATATTAACAATTAATATTTTTTAATACTTTGATTTTTCTTATAATAGACTTATTTTTTCTTTACTAATTTTCTTTTAATATTATTTGAAAATATTAAATATTTTAAATAATCTTCTTATAAAGTAACCATTTTGAATTTAATTAATATTTAATATAAAATACAATCTTTATAATAAAATCATTATATATATATTTTAACAGATAAAATTTTTGTTAAAAAATTATTAAAATCAATTTATTCTTTAAAAATTATTAAGTAAATTATTTAGTTAATATTATTTTTAAAATAATTATATAGATTATAGATATTCATTAAATGTTCAGTTTAAATATTAGTTAAACTTTCATATTAATTTAATTTTTAGTAGATCTATTATTTTATTAACATATTAATTTTATTTTCTTATGAAAATTCAAATTTATTTTTATAAAATATATTTAACATAACATATTTTATTAATTATTTAATATATATAATATTTTTAAAATTTCATTAAATTTTAATATAAATAAAGTAAATTCTTTAAAATATCATTATATTAATCAAAAATATAATTAACTAATATAAAACTTATTTTTTATAATTGTTAAAATCCTTTACAATTTCTTTATTTATCATTTATAAACTTATTAGAATATTATATTAATTTACTATATTAACTTAAAATCTTTGAAATATAAATTTCTGAAATATTTTTAAATTATTTTTATATATTTTAATTTGTAATTTTTTGAATAGTTCTATTTAATTTTTATAAGTTTATTAAAATTATAAATCTAATATAAAAATATACTTATAATTTTTATTATTAAATACTAAAATTTTAATAATAATACAAGAATTTTTTTATATATATATTATATATTGTTATTTTAAATTAGTATATTAATTATTATATTAAAAAATTCTCTAATTTGTAAAAATATAAATATTTTAATCAATCAAATATTAAACTTTTATTAGATTATATTAATTAATGATTACAATTGTTTTTATCTTACTTAATAATTTATTAAAAATAAGTATTGATTTTATAATTTTTAAAATAAAAAATTTTTAATTATTTTATAGATAAAATCAATTATATTTAAATAATTTAATAAAGGTTTATATTAATATTATTTATTTTTATATGAATAGTTTATTTATTATAAAATTATAAATATTTAATATATAATAAAAATATTATAATAAAATAAATAAAATATAACTATTAGATATATATAAAAATCTTTTAAAAATATTTTTAGTTAAAATAAATTATTTTATTAAGAAATTTAATTTTAAAAATCTTATAATAAAAAAGTAATTTTATTAAATTTTAGATAAGTTAATTTATAAAATAAAATATTTAATTAGAAAATTAGCATTTATTATAATATTTTAGTAATTATTTTAATATTTAAAAATAACTAAGAATATAAATTATTTTATTATTAATATTTTATTATTTGAAATATAATAGAGAATATTTTACTTCTAGTCATTTTAAATGCAATATCATTCTATCCTATATATTAATTGACAAATAAGATTTTAAATATGTATTATTAATTTTGTATTATATAATATGTATTTATTATTAAAGTTATGTATTATGTAAATACTTCATGTTTATTAATAATTAATTAAAAAATTACATTTTAATTTAAACTTAATTTATTAAACTCAAAATTAAAAAAGTAAACAATATTGTTTAAAAATATATTTTAATAAAATAAAAATATATATATTTTGTAATATAAATTTTTTTTAGTATATAAAATTTATGTTTATATTATTTGAATAAATTACCTTGATTTGCATTTTTTATATGATTAATATAATACTTTAAATACTCTAACAATTTTTATTATCTAGTTTTAATAATAATCTAAACTTTAATTTCTTTAATATATTTTTCTTTATTAAAAAAAAATTTTTTTCAAAAAATAAATTATTTTTTTTTTAAAAATAGTATTAGTTATATATAGACTAATTAACTATAAAAATTAGTAATTTTAGTAAAAAAAAAATAATAAATTATTTAGTTAATAAATATAAAATCAAAAAAAAAATAAAAAGATTCTATAAATTAGGCAACTGTATTATAAATCTAGAATTTATACTAAATAAATAATACTTTAAAGATAAGATTAATTTTTAAATGAATTTATATAATTTTACTTTATTATTTAATTCTTTTCTTATAATTATTAAACAACAAATTTTAATTGAAGTTAAGAAAAAATTTTAAAACTATAAAAATCAATATTTATAAAAAGTAATAAAGTATATTATTAATGTTTAATAAACTTAGCTATTTAGAATTTAGAAGAACTTTTAAAAGTATAATAAATATAAAAAAATTGATTTTAATAAAATGTTAGAAAAATTAATATGATTTTTTAATCTTATTCAATAGAATATTATATATGTTTATTTTATTACTAATTTATAAAAATATATATTAAGAAAAATCATTCAATATAGTTAAAAAATATAAAAAAAATTAAAACTTTAATTACTTTTAAAAAAAAATACTTATAATAAAAAAATATAATAATTATAATTACAGTCAACTCTTGTTATAACGAACTCTATATCCTAGACCTCAACTTCGCTATAAGGCTATAGTAAAGATTTTAAGATTTGATTGTCCAATTCGCTATAATAAGAGTATTTTTTATTATATTTGTTCAAAAAATTTATTATATCAAGAGTTGACTGTATTTATATTATACATTATTATTAATAATTATATTTAATTATATTTAATTTCAGAAATCAAAAGAAAAAGCATTTTATTTGAATTATAATCAATTGAATTTTTCAGTTTTTTCAATTAATATTATTCTTTTTTTTAAAAAAAATTTTATATTGTATATATTCAAATTATGTAATAATCAATTTTATAATTCAAATAAATTATTTTCATAAGAATTTCTATATATATTATACTAGAATTATCAAAGTTACTTAATATATAAAATTATTAAGATACAATTTTAATAACAATTCAAAAAAATGATTTTTATAAGAAAGAATAAAAATTCAATATAATAATAAAGTAAAAGCAGAAAAACTATTTTGATAATTATACTAATAATAAGATACTTTTAAATAATTTGAAGAATATTTTTGATGGTAATATTTATAAATAATTTATTAGAAAAAGATTTATTTAATGATAGATGAGATGTTGTATTTACAGTATCTTGTGATGGATATTAAATATTTAAATAAAAAACCAATTATTTTTGGATATTTCTTATAATAAATAATAATCTTAATCCTTTAATAAGAGTTAAAAAAGAAACTTGTTGATTCCATTTTAATTTCTGGACTAAAATAACCTAAAGATTTTAATACATTTCTAAGACTATTTTGTTGATAAAATAAAAGAATTAAAAAGTAAGTACTTATTTAAATACTTATTTATTTATTTTTATTAGTAAAATAAATTTAAAATTAGTTATTTTAATTATAGGGTATTACTTGCTATGATGCATATACTGAAAGTGAATTTATACTTCATGTTCATATAATTGCATAGACTGGTGACATTCTGGAATTTTCAATATCACTGGTCATAATTCAATATTCTGTTGTAGATTTTGTAACATGAAAGAGTTTATTCAAATTCAAAAAAAAAAAAAAACTCAAATATATTCACTAAATAAGATAAATGCAATAATTAATAAAGCAAAGCAAAAAAGTTATGATTAAAAAATAATCACAATATGAGCAAACTTTATTATTTTCAAAAATGGTAAATAAGCGGCAAAAATGCTAAAGATACAAGTAAAAACCGCATCACGGCCATAGCATAAATGATTCATTCTCGATGCGATCATAATTACCGATTCCGTGAAAATCAGACGCTTCAGCATATAGAATGGTGAGACACTGCTTATTGAACTCATTTATCCGCCTCGTGTAAGTAAAACAAAAAATCAAACGAAATATAACATTCAAACAAATCTAACTTACCTTTGCATCACGGATCCAAACTGCTAAACAAATTGAGATATGATGATTAATACACACTGCCATTTCGAATTCTTTCACATATGCTTACATAATCATATATTTCCATGGGTATTTTGGACATATTGCTGTTCTTGTTATATATTGGCATTTGAATCTTTGCAAGAAAATCTTTGTGCAACGCGAGTATAATAGGCGCAGCTCACCTGAACTTTTAAACGAATATTTGTGCAGTATATCCAATAAATTTCGGATTCTTGGCATTGCGATACAAAAATCAGAACAAGAAGTATATCTCTTTCCTATTGGTTCTCAATACAAAGGTGGAGTGGTATGGAATATAATAATAGTAAGAGTGACTCGGAAGCATTCCATTGTTTATATTTTTACATCATTGCTAACCTCACGAATTTGTCATTTCTATAGGGCACCTTGCTCTTAATGAAGTTTTAATCGTGTATTCCGTCAACTGCCAATTATCCTCTGATACTAGCACTTTGATTAGCTCAAGAAGAATGGGTGGCGCTTGGCCTACAAAATAACACGTTAGGAAAGAATTTTTAACAGAAGTAAATCAGTACAACTTTATTGAACATGAGAGATTCAAGAAACCACAATTTTTTTAAAGATATAATAATTGTTGTTGAAACCAATGTCTACACTGCTATGGAAGTCAATATATTTGGTGTATTGATGAAAAAATACAAGTATGCGAGGCAGAAGGATTCTGGCCTCTCTACAAATGACCCTTTCGTACCAGATTACACTTGTCGTCTTAAAATTAACGATAATCTCATGAAGAAATCTTGGTAATCGAAATGCAAGATTTTAGTGGCCCATTCACATCATATAATCGAGAAAATTTACAATTATATGTCATCATTACTACTTCAATATGTAATTATTTTGAATCACTTGTTCCTGTATCGACCAATAAATAATCGTACGGAGCTTCTCATTTCACATCCGAATTCATCGTGTTTCAACCAATCCACCAGTGCTTAAATAATACGCATATTTGGCTCAGTTAGCAGAGGAAGGTTCCACATCTCCCCATCATAACATAGTAGTATGAGATAAACTTTAGCTTTACAGCAAAGTCAGCAAAATTCTGGAGGTGGTCAGATTTCCAGAAGTTTGAGTAATTCTCGTTATAACTTGAGAAATGTATCGAGAACGTCTGGTAACCAGGGATCACAAGATCCAACGGAACCGGTTATTGATTGTTCTGAATTTAAGTTTGAGCGTTCCTTAGGCAATGGGCAAACCGGAGGGACTTACCGATATGAATTCCATGGGTAAACAATAGCTCTGAAAGCTTTAGATCTATATAAGAATAGAAAATTATTTTATAATATGCAAAATGAAAACGAAATATACAAACGTTTTTAAGTTTAAGGAATATATCCCAAAATTGGTATGTTATGGTTATTATGGGGGTGGAATGTACTATGTTATGGGTATGAAATTGATGGTACTATTTTGAGTTTCCGTAAGATAGAGAAATGGCAAAATAATAAGGCTCTCAATGCATTCATAGTCAAAACATTCTTCACAATGATATTCGAAAAGAAAATATCTTAGTTAATGAAAAAGGCGATATATATTTTATTGATTTTGGGAAGTCAATTGTAACTGATAAAAAGAAGCTATTTCTTCAAGAGAAATCTGAATTATCCCGTTTATTAGGATGCTAATTAATATTTACTATGCAAAATTCACAAATATCATTAGCTAGTTTTTTTAAAAGTTAAATTGTAATTTGCATGCTTACGCGACTGAAGTAATACTATTTATTGTCCCCAGGTTTTTCTAATTGCAACTTTTATAATGAGCAGAACTTGGAAAGTAGGATCGTTATTCACTCACAATGTGACACAGTAACGGAATTACATAAATATTTCGATTATTTTTTTCCGACTTTGCTTTTTCTTGGCAAAAAATTTCCCACAAAAAAATGAATTGGTCAAACTGCATGATTCAAGAATTCCTGAAGCGTACTAAAAATATAACTCAATAGCTATAGGAGGACGTGATTCGGATGATGTAATATTCATACCAATTAATACAACTAGTCATCAAAGTATGATCATGATACGATCTCTACCCATTCAGAAAATCATTATCATCAATTATATCTCATTTATTTGTTAAATATATTTAATTAAAAAAATTTTCTAATAAATATTATTCACTTAATTCATTTGCCACTTCTTTTAGCTTATCATGCATTGGTGTGCCCTCAAAAGAATTTTTTGTCCTTCCTATCAAACTCTTCAATAAACTCTTTGCCTGATATTTCCAATCTTTACAAACGATTTTTTCGATTTCTAAACCATCATCATTAGAGTCTATTTTACGTAAAACTTTCTTTTCACCAAAATTTTGATACGCTTCTACAACTTCTAATGCAGCATTTGCTACTTTTTCAAATACATCGTACGAATTCCCTAAATTTGGATCACGTAAAACGCTTCGATATGCTTTCAAATACGCTTCGAGAGCTTCGTCGTATTCCTTCTTCCAAAACCAAAATTTAGCACAGAGACGCCATATATGTTGATTGGAGGTAATTCGAGAAGTAATAGTTTCGGTCAATAATTTTTCAAGTCTTGGAGCCAATTGAGAGGCACTATTTTGACGAGCATCTTGAATACCTTGCGTAACAGCATTTACTAAAAGTTCAAGAACTTGTAAATCAACGCAAGAATCCTTTTCCTTTTCCCACCTTAAATCAACAACACGTTGCATAGCTCTTATAGCTTCGGCAAATTCACCAATATCAATAGCTGTATACAGATAATTTGTCCATATTTTCCAACTATCATAATTTAATCTCAATCCCTGTTGTAATGAATTATAAGCATCAGGCTTACGTTTTTGTTTCAAAAATATCGATGCCAAATTATTCCAAGCTTCAGAATTTTCGGGATCAATAGCTATAGTTCGTGAAAAAGCTTGTATAGCGGTTTCCCATTCCTTCACATGCATTGCAGCACATCCCTGCACAAACCATGAATTTTCAAAAAGGGGATTTATCTGAAGAGCATTTGCGTAACACTCAATAGATTTTCGATATTCTTCACGTTTATACCAATATCCACCAAGAGATCGCATAGCACGAGCGAATCGATTGCCGGAAATTTCCCATGCATGTTCCCAATGTTTTGGATCCTTTTCGACGTCACCCAAAAGACAATAAAGTTTTGGTGAATTTGGTGTTATCTTTAATTGTTCATGTATTATCTTTTTAGCCTCCACTTCTTTTTCAAGCATAATATAACAGTTGATTACATCTTCCCACATTTCTAATCGTTCAAATATCTGCAGAGCCGAACGAACAACACCTATGGACAAATATTGCACAGCAAGTTCCTTTTCCATATCCCATTTTGATGGCAATAAAATTTGATAAAAATATGCCATTCGTTCTTTTGCACTAGAAAGTTCAAGAGGAAATTGATCCACTAGTGCTTGAAGTTGAAGAGCAGAACGTTCAACCGTTCGACTCTTTTCTTTTTCAAGACGTGATCTTAGTAATAATGCCATGGTGTATACCATCCAATTGTTTGGATTTTCTAAAACACGAGAGACATACGGCACCATTAGTTCTGTGGTAATACCATGTGAAGGATTAGTATTCTTTACATTTAAACAAAAAGCAAGCAACAGACATTGATCAATAATTTTAAGGTTCTTTTGATTTTGAAGATCAAAATCTACTACATCATCATTTTGATTAGAAAATTCGATTTTTTCCAGTAAGGTGTCATCATTCAATCTTAAGTTATCCGGAAGTTTTTTTCTTGAGTCACTTTCATCCGGAAATTCCTCTTTAGATTTGGCAACGACTAATAATTGTGATATATCAGACGTTTGAAATTTTGTTCTTTTGCCTAATGCACCAGTTACTTTCCATTGAAGTTGGCTCGATTTTTGTGCATTTAAAAAATGTTGAAATGCTAAAGAATCTTGGCCATAATAATGATATACAAGACCGAATTCTATATGATATCTAGCGTAAATATCTGAATTCGTTGAAATAAGTTTACTCTCAAAAGTTTTCAGATATTGCAACATTAAGTCGTGTAAAGAGCCGGCAACATTATCAAGAATACGCTGTTGAAGGAACAAAACTCTCTGTCCCCACCATAATGAAGTTTTTAGATCAGTAAAAAGTTGTTCGTTATCTACTAAAATAATTCTTGAAATTAAAAGATACAAAGCTCGAGGTACTAAATGATAAGCTTCTTCACCATCTGTAGATAACGATTCTAGAGCTTTCTTGTTTAATTCATCAGAATTATATTTGTCCCTTATAATTGTTGGTAAAATATCTCGTGGTTCGAGATCTAAATTCGGTCCAGTCCAAGAAGTTTGTATAAAGGCATTCAAACAAGCAACTGCAACGCAGAGCAAATTAAGCTGTTTAAGTAATTGATTTTGTTGTGATTCTAATTCATGTAAACTAGATGAAATATATTTCTTGATCCTATTAGATATGTATACATTTATGTCTAAGTTTCCTGTAAAATTTTTGACAAAATCATCCTCTGCTGATAATTCCGTTCCTAAGATTTGTTTTGTTATATCGCAAGTCAAACTTTCCCTATATTGACCATCAAGGATTTTAGATATTAAAATTTCAGTTGAATTTTGTGAACTTTCATGTGTAGAATTTCCCAATATTAATGACCATTCTAACGTTTCAATAAGATTTGAAGTAGTCATTGGAAATTTCAAAAAATCGTTTTTCGATCAGCATAATGAGATTATATAGGAAAAAAAGATTCCGATCATATGATTTTATTAATTAATATATCACGTGATATTATTCAATCATTCAATCAAACATTTTTAGTATAAAAATTTTTCCGTTTATTTTTGAAATATTTTATATAATTTATATTAATCATATTTTTTTTAACAACTTAAAGTATAAAATTGTATTATTAATTATTTATTTATAATTATAAATTTTATATAATATATTTTAATTAATACTTAAATAATTATTTATTCAATTTACTAATTTTGTTAAAATTTTATCATATAATTCAAAAATTAGTTCGACTAAATTTTAGTATCATTATTTATCTCTTAAATTATCTAGCAAGCAAATTTGTTTACAATATAAAAAAAAAGAACTTTTAAATAAAATAAATATTAATTTTAATAATATAATTATTATATGAAAAATATAGTTTAATATATAATTTATTAAATTTATTAGAAGATATTTTAAAAAATATTAAAAAGTTTTTTAAAATAATTCAATTTTAAAATTAAGTTATAAAAGTTAATTCAATCACTTTATTATTAAAATCATAATATTCATAATAAATTATAATATTAATATAATATTATATTATAATTAATATTGTTAATAATAAATTTTAAGGTTAATAATAAAATTTTTAAAATTACAACTTTTAACTTATAAGTAACTTTAAATTTTTTATTATATAATTAAAAAAATAAAATTACTATTTCTAACAAGTAAATTTATTTACAAAATTAAAAAAAAGTATTAATTTCTTAATAAAATATTAAATATTAATTTTAATAATATAATAATTATATAAAAAATATAGTTTAATATATATTTTATCAACTTTATTAAAAAAATTATAAGTTTATTAAGAAGTTTTTAATAATTTAATTATAAAATAAGTTTTAAAAAATTTGTTATAATAATTTTTCAAAAATTTCATAAAGATCTATATGTTTACAAATTGATTGAATCATTTTATTATGATAGTAACATTGATTATATAATATTCATTTACTATAAGTTTATACCTTTTACCCCTTATCTTATAATAATTTTATATTATATTATATATATTAAGACCTTTCAATTACTTTTATCTTCTAAGTATTATATAATAAATCTCAATATTCTTACTAATAATAGTTATAAAATTTTCTTAATAAATTATAAAAATTAAAAATTATAGTTATTTTTATAATAAATTTTATAATATTCTATTATAATTAATATTATTAAAATAAATTTTTAGTAAGTTTATCAAGATTAATGATAAATTTTTTAATATAAAAATAAATAAATTTAGATTTTTATTAGTCTAAATGGATCAAATCAGGTTAAAAATCATATTAAATAATTAAAAAATAGTTTTGTTAAAATATTTAAATATCTAAAGATTAATAAATGATATATTATAGCTCATTAAATTTATCTCTATTTAACAAATCAAATGATAGTTATTTCATTTTAAATATATTAATATTGATAAAATTATGTTTTATTTTATATTTATATATTAATCTATAATATGTATTCTAAATTTTTTATATAAAAATTAAATGAATTATATTTTATTAACTAGAGATTTAAAATTTATAAAATATAGCTTATTTAATTCATTTCTATAAAAGAAATTAAATAGTAGTTATTTATTTTAAATGGATTAATATTGATAAAGATATTAAATTTTGAATTTTTTAATTAAAAATTCAGATTAGATCAGATTAAGTACTTCATCTAATCTAACAAATTTTTTAGATTGACCCATTGAGTTACTTGACTTATTAAGTTAAATTCAGAATTATAATTAAAGAGCTTGAGAATGCTTTTAATCATAATTTTATCTAGTTATTATTTTCTATATTTATCATTTTTTTATATTCTATTAATTTATTATTTTCTTTATATTTTATTATATTTTTATAGTATTTTTATTATTTCATTAAATTTCTTATTATTTTATTAAATCTTTATAATTTTTATTATTCTATTAAATTTTCATAATTTTATTAAATCTTCATATTTGATATTTTTTATATTAGATTCTTCATTTAATTATTTTTTTTTATTATCAGTTTCTTTAAATTTTTAAATAAAAAATTAAAAATTTTATTTTTAAAATATGTTTTTTTTATAATTATTATTTTAAGAAATTTTTAAAATATAAATGAATATTTATTATAAAAAACAAATTATATAATTTCAAAAATTATTATAATTCTAGAATAATAAATTATTGATTATAAAAAAACAACCTATTTTTATTTATAAAAAATTAGTGACAATTAATTCTATTATTTCTTAATATTTTTTTTCTATAATTTTTATTATTTCTAATATTTATTCTATATTTTTTATTATTTTTTTCTAAATTTTCTATTATTTTTATTTATAATTTCTATTATTTCTAATATTTCTTTTCTATATTTTCTATTATTTTTAATATTTTATTTCTATTATATCTAATATTTTTTTTAAGGTTTTATTATATATTATTTTTTTTTATTATGATATTATATATTTTATTTTACATCTTTAAAATATATTAATAATTATATAATTTATTATTATTTATTTTTGATTAATTAATTTATCTATATTATTTATTAAATTATTCTTTTTCTTCTTATTATTTTGAATAAATAAATTTATTAATATTTTATAATTATTTTTTTTCTATATTATAATAGGTAAAATTTTTATTAAATATTTTATTTAGCAATCTTAATGTTAATATTATTTCCTTAAAGGTCTTTTTATAGAATAATTAATTAATTTAATTTTCTAAAATAATTATATAAATTTTAGATATTAATTTAATTTTTGGTATTCTTTAAATTATAAATATAAAATTGTTTTTAAAATTTTAAAAAACTTAAAATATTTTAATATCTAATTATTTTATCATATTATAATATATGTAATAATAGTATTTTTAAATTTTTAAAATTCATAATTATTAATATATATTAACTTTAATTTTTTAATTTTAAAAAATAATTTATTATTTAATAATTACAAAAATATAAAATTTAGTTTATTAGATTTACTATATTTAAATAATAGTATTTTTATATTTTTATAATTGATAGATAATAAGATATTTGAGTTTAAAATTTTAATTTTTTTTATAATAATTTATTATTTATTTATCTTTAAAAAATTACTAGTTAATTATATTTTTTTTTTATTTTTACTTAAAAAATACCATAAAATTTATTATAAAATTATTAATTTTTTTAATAATTTACTTTAAAATATTTAAAAATAATTAAAAATGATTGTAATTAATAAATAAAATTGTTTACAAATTTATAAATAAAACAGTTGAAGGAATAACAATCTATTTAAATTTTATATTAATTTAATACTTGCAGATTTATTATATTTCTTAGTAATACTTCAACTTTATTTTTATAGTATATATTAAGTTAAGTTTATTTTATTAATTATTTAATATATTTTTATATTTTTATTAAGACTCATTACTTTTCTAATAAAGGTAAATAGAAAAGTTAACTTTATCTCATTAATCAAATAATGAATTTATATAATAAAAAGTATTATTAACTAAGTATAAATTAATCTTTTGCAACTATTTATAAATACTTAAACTATTTTCAACTATTTAAATTCTTTATATATATTTATAAATTTTTTAATTATTTATAAACTAATTATATAATATTATATTGATTTGCTGTATTAATTTAAAGTCTTTAAAATATTATTGTATTTATTATTATATTTTATATGAAAATAATTATTGATGTTATAATAAATTTTCACTTATAATTCTTTAAGTAATTTTTATAATCTTTATGTGAAATTATTTTAAGTTACTATCCTTATATAATATTATGTATTTTTAGTTAATTATTTATCTATTATGATTTTTGTTTAATGTTATTTTTTAACTATTTGATTTTTTAAGTTTATAATTTGTAATAATATATTTTTATAAATTTTTAATATTATCTCTTAAAGTGTAAATATAAATTGCCTATAAAATTTATAGAAAAATTATAATATTTTAATATCTAGTGATTATACAAAGATGAAATAAAAATTTATTAAATTTATCATATTAAGATCTATCTAATAATAGTATTTTAAATTTTTAAAATTAATAATTATTAATATATATTAATTTTTTAATTTTTTAATTTTTTAAAATAACTTATTAT